AAAGCCACTGGGAGGCTCAGACGTGCCCGTGTGCCGTGCACGTGCGCAGCGCGCCCTGTGCAAACCGAGCCAGGCCTCCGCGCCCCCTGGACCGCGACACTGTGGCCCAGTGTCCACACCCACTCTGGGCGCCCCCTCCCTGGGGATCTGTGCTCCTTGCGTAGGGGGCACCTGTCGCCCCCCCCACCCTGTCTCCTCCTCCCCGCCCTGCTTCCTCCCTGTGGCACTCAAAAACAAACAGGCTCTGTCCTCGCTCATTTCTCGCTCACTCTCTGCCTCCCTCTCTGGAACACAAACTCCCTGGCCAGGACCCGACGTCTGCGTCCCCATGGCCCAGGGCAGTGCCTGGTATCGGCACCACTGGTGACACCGGCGTCCAGTACGGGCGCCCGTTCACATCCTGGCTGCTCCACTTCCAGCCCAGCGCCCTGCTAACGGCCAGGGAAAAGCCGTGCGGGATGGCCCAATGCTTGGACCCCTGCCACCCACATGGGAGACCCGGATGGAGCTCCTGGTTCCTGGCTTTGGCCTGGCCCAATCCCGGCTGTTGTGGCCATTTGGGGAGCAAACCAGCGGATTGAAGATCTCTTTGCCTCCCTCTAACTCTTTCAAGTAAATAAATAAACCTTTTTTAAAAAAGCTCCATTTGGGGCCGGCACTGTGGTGTAGCGGGTGAAGCCACTGCCTGCAGTGCTGGCATCCCATGTGGGCGCCAGTTTGAGTCCCGGCTGCTCCACTTCCGATCCAGCTCTCTGCTGTGGCCTGGGAAAGCAGCAGCAGACGGCCCAAGCGCTTGGGCTCCGGCACCCACATGGAAGACCTGGAAGAGGCTCCTGGCTCCTGGCTTTGATTCGGCTCAGCTCCAGCCGTTGTGGCCAACTGGGGAGTGAACCCGTGGATGGAAGACTCTCTCCCTGCCTCTCCTTGTTCTGTGTAACACTTTCAAGTAAATAAACATTTTTAGAAACTTTTTTTTTTTTTGATAGGCAGAGTGGACAGTGAGAGAGAGACAGAGAGAGAAAGGTCTTCCTTTGCCGTTGGTTCACCCTCCAATGGCCGCCGCTGCAGCCGGCGCACCGTGCTGTCCGATGGCAGGAGCCAGGATCCAGGTGCTTTTCCTGGTCTCCCATGGGGTGCAGGGCCCAAGCACCTGGGCCATCCTCCACTGCACTCCCTGGCCATAGCAGAGAGCTGGCCTGGAAGAGGGGCAACCGGGACAGAATCCGGCGCCCCGACCGGGACTAGAACCCGGTGTGCTGGCGCCGCAAGGTGGAGGATTAGCCTATTGAGCCACGGCGCCGGCCCGAAACTTTTTTAAGATACATTTTATGTATTTGATAGAATTACTGAGCAAGACAGAAAATCTTCTATCCACTGGTTCTCCCCCCAGATGGCTGGGCCGGAGCTGGGCCAGGCTGAAGCCAGGAGCAGGAGCTTCTTCTGGGTCTCCCAGTGGGCACAGGGGCCCAAGGCCCTGGGCCGTCCTCCGCTGCTTTCCCAGGCCATCAGCAGGGCGCTGGATCGGATGTGGGCTCTGGGACTCAAAGTGGAGCCCAGAGGGGATGGGGCACTGCAGGCGGCAGCTTCACCCCCTACGCCACAGCGCCAGTTAATTTTTTAAGTAAATCTTTTTAAAAAAGAAAAGAAATAAAAGAACAGCAAAAAACATGATCTGGCTTAAAACTTAAAAGTTATTCTTAAAAGAAGAAAGGAACGCCTCCATCACTGCTTGTGGAAGAGATGATTGGTGCTCAGAGACGTCAAACAAGATCCCTGAGCCACAGAGCAGGCCAGGAGCAGAGCCGGGCTCCGGCCACACACCTGGCCCCAGGGCCCCTGCTTCTCGCCCTGGCTGGGCACAGCCACGGAGGGGCGCCCAGCTAGGGTCCCCTTCATGTGGGACCTGCAGGACCCCCGGGACGCCTCCCCCAGAGCGGGCTCCCTCTTCCTTCATGGAGCCCCTAACCCAACCGCGTGAACGCCTGGTTAGCGACCGCGGGGCCGAGCCTCCGGGCTCCATCTCCCGCAGGGACCCGGGCAGCAAACGCTCCCGGCTCCTGCACACGTGCGCGCGGGGTCCTGCCTGCCGCCCGGGAGCCTTCCCCATGCCCCTGACCCAACCAGACAGAAGCCGCCGGCCCCGCACGCCCCGCCCGGCACTCACGCGGGATTGCTCAGCCAGGCGTGCGTGCAGCGCCCGTTTCCACAGGGTGTTGGCAAAGGCGGCTTGGAGAAGCAGCAGGAAGCACAGAGCCCGGAGGCCCTTCCTCCCGAGGCAGCTGCTCATGGCAGGGCCGGGGACGGGTGTGCCTGGAGCTCAGACCCCTGTCGCCCGGGCCAGCGAGTGCGCGCCGGGGCCTTGGCCAACGCCAAACCAGCTTCCACCCAGCGGGGTCCCAGGGATCATGTGTCCGCGCCCGGCACATGCCCCCTCCTGCCGCCGCAGTTATTTTTAGCTGGCCCTACCACATCTGGCGGAGACTCCGACCAGGGCGGAGCAGCCCCCGGCGGCCGCAGGAGGAGGGGGCACCGGGCCTGCTTGGGGACGTGGCCGGGAGTGGCCCTGCCACCCTCACCCCCCCCTCCAGTGAGCACTTCCTGGCGCGCTTGGGCCGTCCCCCTTCCCGGGAGGTGCGAGCCTGCCCGGAGCTCAGCTGCTGCCTCCTACGAGCTAGGGGCTGGGCCACAGGTGCTCCTGCCCCCCCCCCAGGGTGGGGGGCGTGCGGCCGGCCACAGGGCGACCCCTGACCCGGCACCCTGCTTTTGTCCTCGCCGCGGGTTTCTCTTGTGGAACGGAAGTGACCTTGCGCTTCCTACCCGACCTGAGTGTGCTGAGAGCGAGGGCTGGGGGGTGGGGGGCAGGCATCCGGCACCAGGATGCGACTGGCTCTGCTCCACTCTGCACGGACACCGTATCCCAGCCCAGCGCACAGACCCAGGGTCGCACCACTGTAGCAGGGAGGGGTCTGACCCCTGGGGTGCTCCTGCAGGGGCAGCTGGAGGACGCAAGCTCCAGACACAGACGCACCTGGTTCAAGCCCACCTCCGTGTCTGAGCGTCAGGGCGCAGCTGGGAAGGCTCCCTGCGCCCAAGGAAATGGGCGCAAGAGCACCTTCCTGCCCAGGCCTCGCTGGCTTGCAGAGGTCGGCTCCTCCCTCCCTGGGGCCCCACTGCCACCTGCCCTCGGGGTGCTGGGGGCGTGCGTGGGCGGCTCCCGGCCTCTCGGTGGGTGACCACAGGGGTGTATGCAGGCTGTGTGTGGTGCCTTGGCTGCACTGGGGTCTCGTGTCAGCCCCATGGACAGCATGGATGTGACACTCATGCCCAGGGAGGCGAAGGCCTTGCCCGGTCATCCTCCCCAACAACACGAACTCCGGGGTTGGGGGCCGTGTACCGCTGTGGGCCCACCTGTGAGAGTGTCGTTCCCGGAACCTCCCTGGCCCCACCCAGTCCCAGCTCCGGTTGCTACCTTAGCCTGGATTCTAGAACATTCCTGCCTCCTGAAAGTATCTCCCAAGTGCCCCTGGGGCCAGGCCGGGCCGGTCACTCCCTCTGCTCTTTCAGGCTTTGAGGGGCTGATGCCAGCCCCAACCCATTTGGCCAAGGCTGCGCACTCAGAAGTCAGGAAGCACCCAGGGCACGGAGGTCTCCCCCACCAGCCTCCCTTCCAGAAACTCCCGCCGCCCTGGGCTCCGGGAGGCAGAGCTCACTTCCCGGCCCCTCCCCTTCAGAACGCATCCCTGTCCTGTTACATCCTGAGCCCAGGACGGCTCCCGGGGGGCTGCCTCCCCCGCTGTCCCCTCCCCTCCCCGGCTGGCCCTGCCGGTCGTCCGACTTCTACCCCGGCCGTGCCCGCTGCCCTCAATGGCGCCATTCGCCCGCGCCCCGCTCTGCCCTCCGTGCAGATGTCACTTTGCGCACGTGCTCGTCTCTGACCCCAGGAGACCCCAGGGCCCTCGCTGGCCGCAGTCCCCGCCCTATCCTTGGCCTGTTTTGCTGCTTCTGATCCTTTATCACCCGTCTGTCCCACAGGGCAGCTTTTGCTTCTGTCCCCTCAGGAATCTCCAGTGCCCGATGGGCTCAGATCTCCCCACGTCCCCCAGGCCCGGAATACCGGGGCAAACGCCACCGTGGCTGCCAAACACCTACAGGGGAGCCGGAAGGCGCATGCTTCACCAGGAATTCTCGGCCGGAATGCACACCGGGGCCCGCTTGTGTTGGGGCTGCACCGCACCGACGGCACCGCCTCTCCTCGCTGCTTTACGTGGCCGCCGGAAGTCCCACACACGCAGGCTGCTCGAGTCACCTCCGCGCTGGTCTAGGACGCAGCCCCTGTAACACTCCCACCCCTCCACGGGAACCCCCTCATCCAAACCTGAACCTCGCCTGAGCGCCACCCCTCCCCCCCACCTGCGCACCTGGCCCCTCGTTCCGCTTTTAACCAAGGCGACCTGCTCCGTGGCCCGTGCTCATTGGCAGAGGATTTGGAAAGTAGAGGAAAGACTAGAGATAAACACCTGCGTCCCATATCAGCATCCGGAGGTAGCCCAGGTGTGAGTATGAGACACGGCAGACGGCAAGGCCGAGCCCCCGTCAAGCCGAGGGCAGCGCCGGGGTGCCGAGGACACTGACTCCTGTACCCAAGCGCCTGGCTCCGCGCCCTGGCTCCGCTCGCCATCCCAGCTTCCTGCTAACGCCCACCCCGGGAGGCACCAGTGATGGCTCAAGTCCTTGGGTCCCTGCCCCCAACACGGGAGACCTGGATGGGGCCCTGGGCTCCCGGCTTTGGCCTGGCCCTGCCTTGGCTGTTGCAGGCATCTGGGAGTGGACCAGGGAATGGAAGATCTGTCTCTGTCTTTCAAATATAAAAGAAAATTTAAAAAAATAAAACATGCACACTTGAGCTCTTCTGTGTGCCCTCCCAGCTGTGTGTCCCGGGGCAGGTCACAAACCCTCTCTGTGTGGATCTTCTCATCTGTCAAATGGGAGCAACGACTCACCTGCCTCGCCTGGCTGCCCCACAGGTTGAAGGAGACCGGCACCTGTGCCCTCACAGGCGGAGCTCTGCCGAGGACCCGGGTCTCCCCTGGCACGTGGCCCGGGCCCACCTCCGCTGAGCGTTTGCTCTGTGCCACGCACAGCGCTGCCCCCCGCCAGCGCCGCCCACTTCTCCTCTCCTCCTCCGCAGGCTTCTTCCTCATAGCGCCCGCCTCAGGGCCTTTGCACGGGCCGTGCCCCCTCCCCAGGAATCTGCTTAGCTGGCCCCTTCCTTTCTCCAAACGTCAGGTTCTCAGCGAGGGGCACAACCCGCAGCTTTACTGTCACCCCGAGTCTCAACCCCCTTTCGACTGTGCGTTGCCAGAGCTTCCTGTCACCCAGCTCAGCGTGGGGGCTACTTATCACTGGTCACTCCTGGCTGCGTCTCTCCCTGCGGCGGGCAGGACAACGACCTCCTGGGCGATGCCCCCTCCCAGTCCCTGGGTCCTTACAAGAGGCGCAGGGGGCAGGGTCAGAGAACGGGAAGGGAAGACGAGGCCGGGCTGGGGTGGGGAGCGGCTGAGGGCGCTGCTCCGCCGAGGTCCTGCAGAGGGAGGATGGAGCCGTGAGCCCAGGGCTGGGGGTGCCTGCAGGAGCTGGAAAAGCAAAGCAGCAGGAGCCCCGGAGCCCCCGGAGCCCCCGCTCAGCCCAGGGAGACGCTGGCTGGGCTCCCGTCTGCAAGACTGTGCATAAGTCGGCAAGTTCATGGCCACAGCTGCACCGGGCAGGCCAGACACCCCCAAGCGAGACAGAGAGTCTGCCCGGGCAGGTGTCTGCACCGGCGGCACTGTGCCCGAATCCCGCCGGCACCCAGGAGTGACGGCCCAGAAGGCTGCTGGTCAGCGGTCAGCACAGCTTGCAGACGGCGGTCAAGGGCAGGTGCACCTCCCCAGCCCAGCGAACCGCGGCGACCGCATCAGCTCAGCACAGTCAGGCACGCAGCAGTCGCTCTGGCGTGAGACCCGAGCGCCACGGCCTCATCTGGACCACGGAGACCCCAGTCAAGTTCTCGCAAATGTTAGGTTCCAAGAGGACCCTCAAATCCTCAGGATGCAGAGGGTCAGCGCTGGGGGCTGGAGGCCCTGAGTGGAGAAACAAACAGGACAAGCAGCTCGGGCCACTCTGCTATGCTTGGGGACACGGCCAGGCTGGAGGCTCCCAGCAGCCTGGGCCGCCGGCCAAGACCAGGGCGCGTCCGGCGTCAGCGGGGCTTGGAACTTGGCGTCCCAGGCCGCGGAGGCCCTTCCTGCTCGCGTGAGCTCCGCAACCTGAGCCGGCCCCCGTGGAGGGGCCGTGCCCTGGGGGACACAGCGCGACTTCCTGCGGATGGGGGGGGGATTGCCGGGCCTTCCCTCTCCTCCTGTGTCCCTCCCCCCCCCCGGGGGGGGGGCGGCCCTGTTCCAGGCTGGAAGCGGCATGGGCGTCCCCTGGGCCCACTGGTTCCTGAGAGCCAGACTTCGCCCTGGCGCCCGCGCCCCCGCCTCCGCGGGGCGCTGAGCTCACTCCGCGCCCTCCCCCACTCCGCCAGGGCGCTCCCGCCCCCAGGGCGAGCTGAGCAGGGCCAGACCACCCAGAAACCCACCCTGGACTCCAGCCAGTGCAGCCCCCTCCACCCCCCGTGGGTCACGCGCTCTCTAGGGATTCCTGCCTGGAACAGGGTCCACTGTCCCGTGGGGGAGGCTGCAGAACAGTGTCCATAGCTGCGCATGCGCAGCCCCTCCAGCAGCGGGGATGCGGGTGGTCGCTGCTCCCTGCGTTCTGAACTCAGCCCCAGACCCCTCTGCCCCCGGGACCCGTGGCTCAGTCATTTCTCTGGGTCCGTGTCCCACCCCACCCCCACTGTGAAACCACTCCTTTCCCCTGAGCTGAAGGCCTAGCGTGGCCCTCCTGGGCACCAGGGAGTCCTTGCTTACACCCCACCCCCCAGCAGCCCGTCCTGCCCAGCTCACAGCTCCGGAGACAGAGCCGTATGGGGGTGGGGGTGGGGCAAGCGCGGGAAACGCGAATCCACTAGTCCAGGGGCACAGCACACACCTGCCCAGGGGTCTCGGCTGTTCCCGCCATTTTCCTGTCCGTGGAATCACATGAAAGTGAGAGGTCGGAAAATCCAAGGGGAAGCTGAGAGGGGGCTTCCGAGTACCCACGAGAAAATCAAATCAAAGCCAACACTCGGGGCGGCCGGGGCCCAGGTCCCACGGCGGCAGGGCCTGGGTTCCCGTCCAGCTCCCGGCTGATGCGCGGGGGGATGGCAGGTGATGGCCCAAGTGCTTGGGTCCCTGCCACCGTGTGAGAGACCCGGACGGAGCTCCCGGCTCCTGGCTTCAGCCTGGCCCAGGCCTGGCTGCTCAGGGCATTCGGCAGGTGAACCAGTGGAGGAAAACCATTTTTCTCTGACACTTCCTGTCCGTTACTCTTCCAAAAAAAATAATAAAGGTAGCGTTCATTTCCCATGAATGTTTGCAGCCGCTTATGTGTAAAGAACTTCTTTTTAAGATGTATTTATTTGTTTATTTATTTGAAAGGCAGAGTTAGAGAAAGAGGAGAAGCAGAGAGAGGTCTTCCATCCACCGATTCACTCCCCAAATGGCTGCACCAGCCAGGGTTGGGCCGGGAGCTTCCTCCAGGTCTCCCACGCGGGTGCAGGGGCCCAAGCAGTAGGACCATCCTCGGCTGCATCCCCAGACACACTAGCAGGGAGCTGGATCGGAAGGGGAGCAGCTGGGACTTGAACTGGCGCCCATATGTGATGCTGGCTCTGCGGGCGGCGGCTTAACCCCCTGCGCCACAGCGCCGGCCCCTGTACGGAATTCCTACAGGTTCCCTTTGGGATGGCGTGTCCTGAACTCATGACAGGTTTTACTTCAGTGCAAGCCAAGGAGGAGAAAATCCTCGAAGCAGGAGCCCAGCGGCCACCGCATGACTCCCCCCGCGCCACCCCCCAGCCGACCTCGACCTCCACCCTCCCTGGGGCTCTGACAGCCCCCGGAGCTGAGGTGCAGGAGCCCCGCAGCCTGAGCCCTGCTGACCCACCCAGGCCAGCCACAGGTGTGCCCCGCCCAGGGCCTGCAGCGGGGGGCGCTGGGACCCTGCTCCACCGAGACCCGGCTGCTCCCAGGGCTCCCGCCCAGCTTCCCAGGAAAGGCACCGGTCCCCACGGACCCTTGGCCCGGCCGCTCCGGCCTGCAGGCCCCCGGGACACCCAAGGTCGGAGAGCCTGGCACCGGCACTTGGCCTGGAAGGGGAGCTCCCGGGAGGAGACGGAGACCCTGGAAACAGAGCAGCTGGGCTCGACTTGAAGGGGGCCTGGAGGCGCCGACTTGGGAAGGGAGGCCGCCCTGGGTGGGGTGGGAGGGACAGCCTCCACTCAGCCCTGGAAGAGGGGCCCCTCCCCCAGTCGCAGGAGGGGCCGCAGCCCCCGCCCCATCCCTGCTGGACTGAGGGCCCATGCAGGATCCTGAGAGGGGAGGGCGGCGGGAGTCAGATTTCAGGGCAGCCCAATCGTCCCAACCGCCCCCTCTTCATGGGGATTGGTTCAGGAACGAGTCTGTCATTTGATTTGGGCCAATGAGGTATCGGGTGAGGGGCTTTTGGTGGTGCTTCCCTCCCATCTGAGAGATGCAGGAAAGGGACAGCTCTCTTTGCGTGTCTGGACTTTACCCCATCAGTGTGCAGTGCCAGGATCCACAGCAGCCACCTTGCAACCATGAGGAAAACAAATCCAAGCAGGACGCCAATGCTGACAGGGCAGAGTTGTGGGGGTAGAGGGAAGCACCCAGGCCTTGGAGGCATTGCTGAGTGGCTGAATCGTGCCACTGCCTGACCCAGCCTGTCCCTGGACTTCTTGTCACAGGCAACAGAGCCATCTTCCTTAGGGGCAAGCAGCTGATTGGAGCTTTTTGATTCTGGCGGCCAGATGTGCCCTGACCGACAGCCCAGCTGATGAGAAAACAGAGCCGGGAGACTCGAACTCCCCGAGACCCCCTATCGCGGCACCCCGGGCGGGCACCGCACGTGGTCTCTCCGCCCCCGGGGCCGGGGGCTCAAGCCGCCTGCCTGGTCCCACCTGCAGGCCTGGGTCTGCCTGTGCCCCTGGCTGGCCTGCCTCCCCGAGGACACGGGCACAGGGCTGTGAAGCCCCACCCTGAGCGAAGCCGTCTTTCCCTGCAAAGACCCCTCAGTGCCTCAGAGCCGAGGGCCGGGGCCCACCCCTCCCGGATGAGGCCAGGAACTCGACCGCGTCCCATCTGACCGTGTGTGGGCATCAGGGGCACGCCGACCCTGCCATCTCCCTCTCTCCTCCCGGGGGCCAGCAGCCGGGGCCGGAGGGACGCACGGGGCCCTCTGCCCCTTCCCGGTGCGGAGCTTGGAGAATGACGTCAGTTTGGCAGGAGTTTAAAAGAAGGAATGAGAAAGCGGGCGAGACTGCCCGACCCCCGTTACGCAACGCCTGGCGCGGCCTCTCTCCTTGGCAGGAACAAGCTGTCCCGGAATAAATCACACGGAGACCGCGGTGCTCGCGGCCCTGGCCTGGCTGCACGCGGGTCCCCGGCCCGGCTCGGGGCCGCCATCCTGCCGCAGCCACAGCACGCCTCGGGAGCCAGCCTCCGACTGCTGCCTTATCCGTGGGTGAGAGGAAGTGGTTGGTTGAATTAAGGGGCAGAGAGCCCGTGGGAGCTGCCGGCGCCCGCTGGGAAGGGGCCCCGTCTGCAGCCCGTGGGAAGCCACTGCCACCCAGGAGGCAGTGAGGCCTGGCTCACGACACCCCCTGCTGGCAGCAGCCAGATGCCACTAGGGAAGCCACCAGTGGCCTCATTAATTAAGTCCCTCAAAAAAAAAAAATGATTTATTTACTTGAGAGGTAGAGTTACAGACACTGAGAGGGAGGGAGGGAGGGAGAGAGAGAAAGAGGTAGAGAGAGAGAGGTCTTTCATCCACTGGTTCACTCCCCAATGGCCACAAAGCTGGAGCTACCCAGATTTGAAGCCAGGAGCTTCTTCCAGGTCTCCTCTGCAGGTGCAGGGACCCAAGGACTTGGGCCATCCTCCACTGCTTTCCCAGGCCATAGCAGAGAGCTGGATCAGAAGTGGAGCAGCCGGGACTGCCCACGTGGGATGCTGGGAGCACAGGTGGTGGCCTCACCAGCTAGGCCACAGCGCCGGCCTCCTGTCATTAGTTAACTTCTTACTAATTCACAGTAAGCTGTGCTGATTTAGGTGGAACCAGTCAGACCGCTACCTGTTGTCTCCGGGGAACAGTAACAGGCCGGCA